AGACCTGTCCAGGTGTCCTTGTGATGGACTGAAGACCTGTCCAGGTGTCCTTGTGATGGTCTGAAGACCTGTCCAGGTGTCCTTCTGATGGACTGGAGACCTGTCCAGGTGTCTCTCACCTCTCACCCAGTGATCGCTGGATATGTGCACCAGTGACCCGAACAGGAAAAAGGAGGTAAAGATGATGGATGGAATAAAAGGAAATATAAATAACAAATACACATCCTTGACTTGTAACAAGGTTAAGTCAGATCCTCTGGACGGACCTGACTTAACCTTGTTACATTTTTCTACCTGGATTATTGAGCATCAGGACATCTTTGATTTCTAAACATCTGGCTGTAGGAGTCAGTCTCCCCACCATCACAGACATCTACACCTCCAGATGCAGGAAGAGGGCCACCTGCATCATGAAGGACCACACTCACCCAGCACACACACTTTTTGCCCCACTCCCCTCAGGAAGGAGGTTGAGGAGCATTAAGTGTAGAACCACTAGACTGAGGAACAGCTTCTACCCTGAGGCTGTTAGACTCATGAATCTCTAACCAGGAGAATCACTGTGATGACACTGATTGTTGATATGTGACTTATCCATGCTGCTGATCTCATGCTGCTGATCTCATGCTGCTGTATTCATTCATACCCATCTGCTGACATAGACTCATGTTCAGACTGCTGTCTTTACGCCGTACTGTTTTACATTATTATTGTTTAGTTTATATCTTAGATCCTTATTTACTGTTTGTGTTTATATTTTTGCTTTTGTTGGATGTAACTGGGACCCTGAGTACATTATTTGGTTCCACCTCATGTACCACATGAGATGAGAATGACACTAAAAAACCTTGAACTTGATCTGACAGATTGACTGACTAAAGGTGGAGGACGTCAGAGACAGGTTTAAAGTTTACCTCGTGGTGAGACCACGTCCACGTCAGAGTCCTCCAGGATGCAGATCTTCAGACTCACGTGGTTGTCTTTAGAACTGGTCCGGTCTCGGGGACGCTTCTGTCGACTGGTCTCACTTCTGCGGCACAAGAACGGTGCCAGTAAAGATCAGAGGATGAAAAGGAAAGATCAACTCGTTCACAACAACAAGCCGATGGAGATGTTTTGAACTCACCTGGTGTTGGGTCCAGCCTGGATGTTTGGAGCTCTGTCCTGTCCTGCCTGGAAGTCCATGGGACGCTGAAACACAAGAAACAAATCAGGACCGGCTGACGTTTGTCAGAACCATCGAGGGTTCTGAGAGGAGCGGAGGCTGACGTGGTGTGAAGCTTCAAACCAAACGGAGCGCGGCAGTCCTACCTTCAGTCGGATGTAGAGGGCAGAGTTACCGGCAGCCTTGCTAACCTGCTCCGGTGTGAAAGACTCGACTCTCAGAGGAATCAGTCTTTTGGTTCTGTCCGTGATGAAAAACTCAAAGGGCTTATCAAAAGCCAGCGGAGGAAGAGTGGACCTCAGCAAGTTCAAGAACTCAACTTCCTGCAGGCCCCCGGGACACTCCAGCTCATGGAACGGGTACTTTTTAAACACTGGGACACAGAAATGACCAGTATTAGTCACATAAACGTGATCCTGGTTCTTCAGCGGTCCTGAAAACAAACGGAGAACTGGAACCAAAGACTTGGGTCTGAACAGCTAAAGGTCTGGAAACAGCATAAACCCCCTCCATGACTCTAAAAGGGTTTTGTTTAGTAACAAAAACTTCAGACTAATACCGGGACTGTTGGATCCTGGTTCTGATGTAACACCAACACATTTTCCAGGATCGTTAATCTGCCTCTGGTCCACCCAACGATGTCATCCAAGACCAACTGAGGCTCCAGTTTTCAACCAAGGCTCGTAACGGGGTGGGGTGTGGAGTGGGGGGTCCAGTTTACAACTTCTCTCATCCAGTTTTTATATTTCTGATACTGTAGATGTGACGTCGATGTTCTTTAAATCAAACAGAGGTTCTCAGTTGGACTGAGGTCTGGGCTTTGACTGGACCGTTCCAGGACCTTAAACTTGTGGGAAGCACGGTGGTTTAATGGTTTGCACTGTTTCCACACAACAAAGAGGTCCTGGGTTCAATCCCTAGTCTGGACCTGTTGTCTCTCTGTGTGAAGTTTGTATGTTTTCCTTGTGGGTGTCCTCCCACAATCCAAACCATGATGTTTAGACTGCCTTGAGGCCCTGAAGGACACAGAGTGAGACCTGTGTTCTCAGAAGGATTGTACGGATAAATAAAGATTAAAACCAATAAAAATATGAATTAGTTCTCCTTAGACCAGCGGAGTCAAGTCAATGTCAAATCTGCAACATGTACAGGACATACACAGGATTGAAATTACATTACTCTCAAACCCCGGTGCAACAATAACCATTTAACATTAAAACATTTAATAAACATAAGCATAAAATGAAATAGTAAAAGTATGATACTGTCTTAAATTGTACTATAGCGGTATAAATAAAATTTTAAAAAAAAAGTATATCTATAAAATAAAATGAAATGAAGTGAAGGTATTGACATTGTCATTTGTAGTGAGTGGCAAAGCAGCATATGAAGTGAATGTACACAGTGTATGTATGAAGTCCTTGATATTGGTGTAGGTAAAGTGACATATGCAATAAGACTAGTAAAAAAATATATTTGTATATCAGCGGTAGT